GGTGAAACCTCATGTATACAATAAATAAAAAATGAGCCGCATGGTAGCACGTGCCTGTAGTTCCGGTTACTTGGAGGGCTAAGGCAGAAGAATCGCCAGAGCCCAGCAGGTTGACGCTGGGGTGGCTGTGAGTGTGTCACTTCACTGCAGCCTGTGAGTCTCCTACTCAAAAATAACAAAAACAAAACTAGGTTTTGACATGCAAAGACCTGCTTTTGCCTAAGTGCCAATTAACAGGATTTTAGTGCTTACTCCTGAGAATACAGGTCCTCCTAATGAACGATTGTTAGTAAAAGAAGCGCAGAAAGACGAGAATATGTTCTCCTTTCCTTATACCTACTTAAAATAGATTGTTCTGCCTCTCAAAGCTAGCTCTGATGAAGAGATACACTGAGAACGTTCAAAACACTTATCATTCTTATCGCCCACAATTGAAAATGTGTCATTCTCTCTATTTTCCCTTTACAAATATTTGTGAAAAAACAAAACAAAGAATAACAAATAAGAAAACATGGACTTCAGACATTGTTGCTATATCCCCCAAAATATAACCTGTAGCCTTTGTACTCTCTGCCTTTCTAATCAGTGCCTTGCTTGATACATTGTTACCTACAAATACCATTTAAATTAACATGTTTGGGTTTTTTTTGAGTTGGAGTCTCACTCCATCGCCCAGGCTGGGGTGCAGTGACACGCTCATGGCCAGTGTCAACTCGCTAGGTGCCAGCAATCCTTCTGCCTCAGCCTTCCAAGTAGCTGGAACTACAGGCATGCACTAAAATTAGCCCAGCTAATTTTTCATTTATTGTAGAGACAAGGTACTGCCAAGTTGCCCTGGCTGGCCTCAAACCCGTGGGCTCATGCAATCCACTTGCCTTGGCCTCCCAAAGTGCTGGGATTACAGGCTGAGCCACCAAGCCTGGCCAACTTCTCTTTTTTGACAAATGAGATATATTTGTAAGTTTGTTGTTGTTAGTCAAAAAGGAAGGTTTGGCTTTATCTGTTCTCCCCTCAAACAACCTCATGACTCTCTTTGGATACCAAAGTTTGAGAGATTTAGTTTTATTTAAACTAATATCTGCTATATTTTCTTCCCATCCTTTTTCTTTCAACCATGTTGTGTCCTTCTGCTTTAATTGTGTTAATAGCATGTAGGTGTATTTTTAAAAAATCTAATCTGATATTCTATTTTGTAACTAGCAATATGACTGTGAATACTGACATACTGAAATTGTTTTTGTCACCTTATTTTGTGCTATTTACTCTGCATTGCTTCTTTTTTCTCCTTTTCTGCCTTTTTTTGAATTGATGGTTTTCTTGTTCCCTTCTACCAGTTTGAAAATAATGTCATTCTGTTTCTATTGTTTGCCGCCAAAAAAATTATATATATATAATATATATATATATATATGGAGAGGAAATACACATACAATAGCATATATATATATAATTTCTAATTCTGTCCTCCATATCAACTATAACCTATTTTTATTGATTGATTGATTGATTTTACATTTTCATTTCTTTATCTCTCTGAATTACATTCTGGATAATTTTTCAGCTCTATCTTTCAACTCACAATTCTCTGTGGCTTGTCTGATCTGCTATTTAGCCCACCTGTGGACTTTCAGATTTCAATGACCTTATTTTTCATTTTCTAGAAGTTCTTTCAGTTCTTTTTTTAGCTCTTTCCAGTCTGTCTTAATATTAGCCCCTTCTCTTCTCACACACTTTTTTTATTCTTTCATGTGTTTAATGCCTTAGACAGGCTTTATAGTCTCTGTTAGTTCTATTATTTGAAAGTTATAGGAAGTCTGCCGAAATTGTCTTAATGACTCTCATGAATGGTGGTTTTGTTTTTTGTTTTTGTAATTTAGATGATGAACTCATCTTTAGGGAACTTTATCTGTGGGAATATTGTGAGGTCTGACATGAGATGTATCCTACAGAGAGGTTTGTCTTTGTTTCTGTCAAGCTTCTCAGGGAGTGTTAACAGCCTAAGATCATTTTAACATATCATTTCTGCTCTGAGAATTCCAGTATCATGGAGGTAGCATAAATTCAAACCCCTAAATCTCAAATTCAAGGCCAGCTCTGGTTGCTAATTCTCAAGAGAAATATATTTTCTTCTATCTAAAGTACAAACACAATCTGACAAGTCTTGATGTCTTATCTTTCACTTTATACTTTCTCCCTAAATAATGGTTATTGTTTTGTTTTTTGAGTTGGAGTCTTACTCTGTTTCCAAGGCAGTGGCATGATCACAGTTCATGACTGCCTTAACCTCCTGGGTTCAGGTGATGCTTCCACCTCAGCCTCCTGAGTCTATAGGCATATACCACCACTCCCAGCTAATTTTAAAAATTTTGTTGTACAGATGATGAGGTCTCACTGAGTTGCCCAGGTTGGTCTCAAACTCCTGGGCTCAAGCAATCCTCCCACCTTGACCTCCCAAAGTGTTGGGATTACAGACGTGAGCCACTGTGCCTGGGTAACTAGATAATATCTTCTGAAACAAAAGTTTCAGTTATCTCTATGTCAGTGACTTCCAGATTTTACATATCTTCATCCCAGATTCTCTCCTCTGAGTTCCAGGCCTGTTTGAATATCTAAGGTAACACCCAGAACTCAATTAGTCTAAGATTCATCAAAGGCATAGTTTTCCCCTAAAACGAGTTCTCTTTAAGTGTTTTCCATCTCAGTGAATGGCATGGCTACCCATACTGTTGTGCATGCTGGAAACCCAGAGGCCATCTTTGACATCTCTGTTCTCCTCTCTCCTTCATCCCATCATCAACCCCTGCCAGTGGTGCCTCGTAAGCACTTCTTAACTTTACTCACTGTCTCCATCTTCACCATTTTCAGATCAGTTGTGCAAGCTACCAGCATTTCTAGCCTGGATTGCTGCAGTTTCCCCACATTCACTCTGAATCTCCTCTGATACATTCTCCACACTATGACCTGGGTGAACTTACTTAAACATACACTGGGGGGCCACCCCTCGGGTCCCCTCCCATTGTGGGAGCTTTTCTGTCCTCTCAATAAATCCTGCTTTCTCATTTTTAAACAAACAAACATACACTGGGGCCCAGCGCAGTGGCTCATGGCTATAATCCCAGCACTGTAGGAGGCCAAGGCGGGAGCATTGCTTGACCCCAGGAGTTCAAGACCAGCCTGGGCAGCAAGACCTCCTCTCTACAAAAACAAACAAATGCACAAAATTAGCTAGGCATGTTGGTGTGCACCTGTAGCCCCAGCTGCTTGGGAGGCTGAGGTGGAAGGATCACCTGAGCCCAGCAGGTCGAGGCTGCGGTGAGCCATGATCATGCCACTGCACTCCAGTCTGGGCAACAGGGTGAGATCCCGACTCAAAACAAACAAAACAACAACAAAAGAACCCCAAATATGCATTGAATTGTTTCTCTTTTCTGCTTGAAACTGGCTCCATGTCCCTGGCTCTTAGCCCCTTCACATGGTCTCCTTGGCTGTGCCTGGCCAGCGGCTACCTGCTTCTTGGGTCCATCTTTATTTCATGCCCTTCTCTTCACCCTGACTTTTGTGCTCCAGCCACAGTGTCCCTGATTCTGTCACCGGAAGCCACCATCTTCCTCCATCTTCCCACTCAGTTTTGGTACATGTGGTTTCCTTTTCCTGAAATGCCAGTGCCCCATCCCCAGCCTTCTCCAGTGAATACCTACGGCATCTTTTGCTTCTTCGGTCAAGCATCCATTTCCTCAGTTCTCATCTACTCCTTTCAAAGCCTTTCTGTTAGTTTATAACCATGTGCTCATTACCATAGTTTTAATGCTTAGTGTTTCCCCAGTAGGCCACAAGCTTTGTGAGATCAGTTTGTCTAGTTTTGCTCATTACTGTGTCCTGAGTACCAATGTAGTGTAGAACATAGAAAGTGCTTAATAAATATTTCTTGAATGAATACACTGTCGTTAAAGACAAAATTAAAGATATATATCTATTCAAAATAGTCCAAAGGGAGAGGATACATAAATAGAGTTATGGATAAAGCAAGTGACAGCTACATGGGGAATCCATTCTGTTATTCGCTCTACTTTCCCATATGCTTGAAATTGTCCATTAAAAAGATTAAGCCAGCTGGGCTCGGTGGCTCAGCCTGTAATCCTGTGCCTTTGGGAGGCTTAGGTGAGTGGATTGCCTGAGCCCGTGGGTTCGAGACCCGCCTGGGCAGCAAGACCTCATCTCTATAATAAATCAAAAAATCAGCCGGGCGTGGTAGTGCATGCCTGTAATTCCGGCTACTTGGAAGGCTGAGGCAAAAGGATCGCCAGAGCCCAGCAGGTTGAGGCTGCAGTGGCCAGAAGCGGCCACTGCACTCCAGTCTGGGTGACAGAGTGAGACTCCAACTCAAAAAAAAAAAAAAGATTAAGCCACTTACTAAAAAAAAAAAAAAATCAAAATACTTTGCCTAGTGTGGTGCCTCATGCCTGTAATCCCAGCATTTTGGGAGGCAGAGGCAAGAGGACTGCCTGAGCCCTGGGGTTTGAGACCAGCCCGGGCAACTTGGTGAGCCCTCGTCTCTACAATAAATCAAAAAATTACCCGGGTATGGTGGTGCATGCTTGTGGTTTTGTCTACTTGGCAGGCTGAGGCAGGAGGATTGAGACTGTGGTAATCATGATTGTGTCACTGCCCTCTAGCCTGGGTGACAGAGTGAGCTTCCAATTAAAAAAAAAAAATCAGTCTTGGGATAAGTGGGAAACTTAACCTTAAAAATAAAATATCATAGCTGGGCATGGTAGAGGACGGCTGTAGTTCTAGCTACTTGGAAGGCTGAGGCAGAAGGATCGCCGGGGCCCAGCAGGTCGACGCTGGGGTGGCTGTGAGCGTGCCACTGCACTCCAGCCTGGGTGATAGAGTGAGACTCCAACTCAAAATAAATAAAAATAAATAAGTAAATAAATAAAATATTATCTCTTTAGGATCAGACTGAACAATTTTATTTAGCCAAAGAAAATTATACTGACCTGAAGATATTTCGGTAATGGTTAATTGGACCACTTAACGCCCCGGGCTGAGAGAAAACATAAATATAAGCTTCAAGATCTTCTGTTGTTAATCGACATCCTTTTCTTCCAATGCCTGTGCTGTGACTGGTAAACAGGTGTTTCAAAGCCTAATTTAAGTGAAAAGAGAATAATTAAAACTTTTTAATTATCTAATGATAAACAACGTCTTTGGCCATGGAAAGAGGATGGAGGTCAGTGTTCATTGACATCTCTTCACTTCTGCTCCGGCCTGGTTGGAGAGATCATTGTTTACAAATCATGTGATGCATTTCCGCTTCCCTTCAAATCCCCCAGGCACACTTTATCCCTATGGAAAGCATCCTGTCTTCTAGGTGTCTGTTCACATTCTACAAGGCCCAGCTCAAGTGCTTTCCCTACCCCAAAGCCTTCCCTAACCATCCAACTTTTATTTGGGGACAACTAATCTCCTCCCCTACAAAGTTGCTTAAACATGTTGGACCATGACCCAGAGTAACAAATACATTTTACATCATGATCCAGTTCACGCCATATACATATGTATTTAATATTATTTAATGCTATATATTACAAGTATAAATTTTCTATGTATATAAAATAAGTAAAATATATGCAATAAGTATAAAATGTATGCTATATCGGAAACAACTGTTTAAAGAAACAACCATTACTTTTATTAAAATGTGCACTGATATTTTCAATTTAATTCTGTTCTGCTTATGTTTTAAAATTCAAATTGCAAGCCACTAAATTGATTTCGTGACTCACTAATGGGTCACTGCCTACAATATGAAAAACACTGCTCTATACCAGCATTTTCTCAAGGTACAGGTCTAAACCAACTGCATCAGAACCACTGAGATACTTGTTTAAAATGCAGACCCCTCAACCCAAAAATATGCCCGAAAAAATATGAAATAACATCTGCATGAGGTGGTTAACTGCAACCTTATTCGTAATGCAGACTGGAAATAATCTAATGTCCATCAGTGGGGGACTGGTTGAATAGCCATGGTATAGCCACACAATGATGTATTGTGCATTCTTAGTACAGTAAGTCCCCTACATTCAAACAAGTTCTGTTCTGAGAGAATGTTTATAAGTTCAATTTGTTCATAAGGCCAACAAAGTCAGCCTAAGCACCCAACCAACACAATCGGTTATATACTGTAATAGGTTTATAATACTGTTCACACAAATAATACATTAAAAAACAATTATACAGTACCATGCAGTACACAAAAGCACAACCACTTGTAGAGGATGCACGCATGTGGCAATGTACACCAGATACTTGAACTAACTTACATGATTGTACATACAAATGCATGTTTGCATCTCAGAAAATTCAAAACTTGAAGGTTCATATGTAGGGGACTTACTGTACTCTGAGAAAAGATGGAGAAAATCTCTAGATGCTGATATGGAGTGCTTTCCAGGATATATTGACAAGTGGGGGGAGAAGCATAAAAAAAATCATGTTTATAGTATGTTGCTTTTTGTGTAAGAAGGTAGAGACAAATACATACCTATTTGTTTGTATTTTTAAAAAGAAACAGTGGAAAGATAAACCAGAATGTCTATGGGAGAGGGAGGAAGCAGGGTAGAGGAAATAGACAAGCAAGACCTCTCCGAATGTAGGTCTTGACTTGGAATCATATAAATGTTTTATATAAAATCACAGAAGTTAAGTAAAACACCCTGGAGTCTTTATTTATTTTGAGTTGGAGTCTCACTCCAGGCTGGAGTGAAGTGGCATACTCACAGCCACCGCAGCCTCGAGCTGCTGGACTCAGGTGATCCTTCTCCCTCAGCCTTCCAAGTAGCTGAAACCACAGGCATGCACCACCACACCCAGCTAATTTTTTTTAATTATTGTAGAAATGAGGTCTCACTAAGTTGCCCAGGATGGACTCGAACCCCTGGGCTCAGGCAATTCTCTTGCCTCCACCTCCCAAAGTGCTGAGATTACAGGCCTGAGCCACTGTGCCTGGCCAGCTTGTATCTTTCTATTTCACTTTTTTGAGGGAGGGATTTGTAGATGTTCCCAACTTTCTCGTCTCATTTTCAG